TAAGTTATTATACGAAACCTGTTCCCCATCCGTAGAAATTCCAAGGGTTGATCAACATTATTAACAGGAGCAAGAAGTTTGGAAGGCTTGTAACAGATCAAAGGCATGTAAAACAGAGAAAAATAATGATACATTAAAGAAATAAATTCCACCTTGAATTTAAGTGGCGCTCAATGAAAACTTATCAGAAAATTCAGAAGATTTATATGAATTAAACTTGCCTTTCAATAACACAGGACACCTTTGCTTACACATAGTAATAGTCACTTCTTATCTCTCCTAACTACAAAAGATACTCCTAGATAACATCTGAAATCAGGGGCTTCAAATGCTTATTTCAGCATTTAAATATGCTTGTTCTTAGATATTTCAGCTTCACTTACTTCTAAATCACATGCTCTGTTCTCCTTTATAGTAAGGCCAATTAAATCACGCAAAAACTCATTTCCCCTGATTTCATCTCTGAATCAAACCATCAGCACCATAGCTGGCAAAAGACATGAAGCTTTGACTAACATGGTTGTACGCATTGCTGATGTCTATCATTATTAAGTAGTTAGTTGCTCACATACTTCATTAATTTATCCTTTGACGGTAAAACATTTGAATTTTGACTCACTAAATTGGTCGATTAACAGACATCATGAAAGGCAAACAAGTAGTCAAAAGCAAAAATCACCAAAATATATTGGAGTTCAAGAGCAAAGTGCAAATAAAGTGTGGTTCTTAGCAAATAGAAGTATCATGTAAGTATATACATAATACTGTCTAGTATTGTGCTCTTATAGATTGAGCCCATTCGTGAAGATGTAACCGAATAAGCCCCTTGATGACTGCACTAAAGTACCAACTAAGTGAAGAAAAGCACACAAGTTTGTTTCAGGGCTTAAATGTGTTTTGAGCAAGCCTTTAACAACAGTGGCTGCAAAGTGGTTTCCAGACCAGGAATGTTATAGTGGAAGTGACTATTGAGTATCTAAGGCTATAATAGCAGTAAGATATATAACTGTAAGAATACATATGTTAAGATGGATATATGGTGATACAAGATCAGAATCATCACTTTCAACAAAGGCTAAAGGTATCACACATGTAGAACAAGATGAGTAAGTCCTCAGAGATGATTCCACAATGTTCAATGTATATTTTCATGTACATTGTTCTTAGGTGAGGCTATAAGAGGATCAAATGTAATAAAAGAGAAAGGGGAGTCTTCGCCTTCATGGCTTGGTTCAATTTTTAAGGTTGTCAAATCTATGACTTAGGTCACAGGTTTGATCCTCGCACAATGCAGACTAGACCTGGTATTTAAGTATAGAAGGATAAACGGGCAGACATACTCTCCCAGGTTCCGAACACTACGGTCGATCCTAAGACAGGACAATACAGAGCAACTCACCAAAACTAATAACATCATTAAAACACTCAAACACGAGACTAGCCAATTGTTAAGCAACATTACCAGCTACCACCACAAAGGTCAATTTCATCAAGGATACAAGTAGTGGTAGGGACAACGCTTAGGCTGAAGGAAAATTACAAACACAAAAAAACAAATCTCCAAGTAGTATTATTCATCAAACATAAAAACCACAAATTTATAGCCAAGTGATACTTTCTATAATAAGAAAACTCAAACAACAGCATTCCTAATGCAAAGTCAATTTCTTCGAGTATAGAAACATTGATACGAACAAAACAAACACACAAGAGGACCTTCCTATAGTATTATTCATCAAACATACAAAAAAAATCACAACTTCAACCGATGAATATTTTCTTTAGTGAGAAAACTCAAACAACAGCAATCCTACCGTAAAATCAATCTTTTTGAGTTAAAAAGTGTCGATAGGAACACAACAGACGCACAAAAAACCTCCCGGCAGTATTATCATCATATGAAAAATTAAAACTTTCTAACCAAGTGATATTTTCTTTAGTAAGAAAACTCAAACAACAGCATTCCGACTGCAAAGTCAATTTCTTCGAGTATAAATCTCCCTATAGTATTACGCATCAAACATACAAACATCGACACTCCTACTGCAAAATCAGTTTCTTTAGTATAAATATAGATAGGGAAAAGAAAAAGCAGACAAACAAAAAAGCTACCTAAAGTATTATTCATCAAACATGTACAAAATAATTACATCTTCATAACCGAGTTGTCAAACATGCAAAAAAATCACATCTTCACAAACGAGTGATATTTCCTACTGTAAGAAAAATTAAACAAGCAAAGTTATTTCTTTGATTGAAAGTATTGATAGGAAAAACTAAGCAGACACAAAAATCTCGTACTATTCATCAAACATACAAAAACAAAACCAAAAACAAAAAAAAAAACTATATAACCGAATGAGAAGATAACTCAAACAACAGCATTTCCCACTGCAAAGCTAGTTTCTTTGAGTACAAAAATATCAATAGAAAACAGAACACACACAAAAAACAAATCTCCCTGTATCATTATTTATCCCTTCATACAGAAAAACCACAACTCTATCACCGAATGATAACTCCTACCGTCACAAAACTCGAACATCATCATTTTTCATGCTCCTGAACAGTTTGTTCAGCAGGTCGAAGCTCAATCAACCATATAGAAACCCTAAACCCACAGTGGCGGCAACAGTAGAACACACATAAAGCTACAATCTTTCATTTTCACAACGAAAACATACATTCATCTCGTTACGATTAGATAAACACAAAGCTAAAAAAAATGAATGCATCTACTGAAGAATTTCGAAGGTGAAAAAAAGTTGAAAAAAATTTAACCTTTGGAGATCTGACTATGGCGAGAATCAAATTGCGTTTTGTCACCCATGGCTGATGATCGGAAGGAGAAAAAGTGAATAAGCGCTCAAAGAAAACCCTAATTTATGCTGCTTTGTGAGAGGAGGGAAGAAGGGGAGAAGAAGTTTAGGCGGGGGGTGAATATAGGGCAAAAGGGTAGGGTAGAGGGTAATCGAAAACTTGGGTTACGTTTAATGACGTGTCAACCTTCGGCGCAAGTTAGCCATATCCAACTCGTATTATTATTTTTTATTTGTCTTTTTTTTTTCACGTTCCCAAAATTAAATGTATTTTACCATTTTATTTATTTGGTAATTTTTATTTTTATTTTATTATTATTAATAAGATATGAATTGTTATAAGCATTTGATACTAATTGAGTATTTGTTTGAATAAATAAAAAATATAAGTTTTTTACTTTTAAGAAGATTGAAAAATTAATTGAATATTATAATATAAATCGAGATAAAATAATTTAAAAGTACGATTCATTTTGAATGATAAAAAGAAGATAGTTATTATTATTATTTGAATAAGCATTTTGTTAAATCAAAAATCATAATAAATGTATGTTACAAAACCAAGGTGAACTTCTAACACTCTTGTTGGCAAATATTTATATTTTACTTTTGTTATCGTGCTTCTAAAAATATATCTTTTAGAAAATTCATGAAATCAATCTCTTTAAGTCTAAATAAAATATCAAGAAATTTTACTTGTTTGAGTGAAGGATATCATTATATTAAGCTTGTCGATTTGATTTGATGATATGTTTGTTGGGTTGAACCTTCATATGAACTCTTTGAAATTTTAAGGATGCTAACAACACAAATAGAGTTTGCACTACTTATATTAATAATTAACCTTGTATATTTTTTATTCTTTGCCCCATATATAATTGATAAAAAGGGATAATTCAATTCTACTTCAAATATACTCAACATTATCGATCAATTCATTTTCTTACATCTAATGAGCCCAATTTACTTCTTCGTGTAGTCAATATTATAAAAGTATTGAAAGTAACCTATGAATTTCACACCATATATCAACTGATAATTATTTATTTTTTAATGAATTTACCTGATTAACATTGATAACGATTGAGCTACAATTATAATAATTAATTGTAGATCGAAATCAATCATAATATGCCGTTTAAGTGAAACCACAATGCTGCTTAGATGAAGATAAAACATCAAAATGCTTAAGATAATGTTAAAATTTAAATTTATATTTTAATAAAGGACTATATGAACCAATTCAAGGTCCATTATTGTTTCTTTGAAATGGATCCTACGTGTCCATAGAATATGAGTTAATATAGGTCTTAATCTTTTCTCTTCAACTTAATCCAAATTAGTTGTTGGAAGGATATAAGGTATGTACACACGTATTAATGAAATTTAACCGGTTATATCATGTTAGTAATGTATTTTTATTTTCGTCCACTTAATTTTACTAAAGAAATTACATGTTACATTTGTTATAAGTTTAACATAATCTGATAGAGCAAGTAAATACCTAAAAACACATTGTAGTTTGGTATGAAGTAGAGAGTGTATATGATCCAAATAGTCTGCGCAGAGTCACTAGTATAATTATGGGTTTAACAAAATTTAATAATTTTAGTTTAAATTTTATAATTGTATTAAAAAATTACGTAATTTAATGAATTAAAAAGTATTTTTCAACTTCGATATAAAATTAGTCAAAATTTTTGAATTTTTAAGTTTCTTAAAAATGAGGAAAATGACTTATCTAATAAATGCACATAAAACAAGCTCTACAATCTCCTTCGGATTGCCACTTGGGTCAGGCGTCACGCCCCAAATCTAAGCCTAGGTGGATCGATACATAGTATGTTAACTTGATCGAGGGAATCAACTTTACGTGCCATATATTGTTTACTCTCTACCCTTCAATACACCGATTTTCGCCCCATCCCAACATTCTTATCCTTCTATCTCCATATCAGCTTCTATAATATTTGTCCGTATTATATACTAATAATTTGCCCAAAATACAGTCATTCAACTAAATTAATACAGCAATCATTCATAATCATCCAAAAACCGTTGACGTTACTATAAAAGAAGTCATTTTTTATTTTATTTTTTAACTTATTCCATAAATAAAAATTCTGCTAGCTGGACAGAGACTTGCTACTTTTTAAATTCTTTATTTAAAAAAAAAGATTAAAAAAATTAAACAGAGATTAGTTTAAATTGAGCATTGATCAGTACAGTCTTCACTCATAGTTGCAAATTGAAATTTTAAACAATTTTATTGTTTGGTAATATAATTTACTAATTATGGCAGAGGAAAAGAAGTTCACAAATTTTGCAGTCCAAAATGGATCAGTTGATATTTGTGAAGTCATAAAGAGTTATATACCATTCTTGAATGTGAGAAGATTATCAGAAAATGCCACTTTGCCCAAAAGAATGTTCCCTCATTCTGCAGCTTATGATCTTTTCAGGTAAAAATTACTAGAATTAGTTTCTTGACTATGATTGTTGATCTAATAATAGCAAAATCGATTCGATATACTAAGCTCCTGCTATGGCTAGGATCCACAGAAGGATCGGACCATAAGGGTCTATTGTACTATATGCAGTATTACCCAGTATATATTGAGTATGTAATGTTTTGACGATACAACATGAGTTGTGGTGCGGTGCTGAGACTGGTTCACTCTTAATTAGAGGTATTGAGTTCAAATTCTGTATATGAAAAAAAAAATTGTGATCATCACCCATATGGATCCTACAATCTAGATGTACCAGATTTAGTTGGAGCTCCAATACAAACACCGAACACGTGAACCAAAAAAATGTCTTGATAATGATAAATAAAATGTTTTTGTGCTAAGTTGTGTCTAATATTGGTAAAGTTTTTTTGCTTGATTTCGGAAAATGGTCAGTAAGTGTTGAGAGTTTAATTGTCTAACAAATTATGTTGGTTACGGCAACTGTAATTTTAAATTACTAATTTTGGTGGACTTTACGTGTGACCAACAAATGGTTATTGCTGAAGCAATTCTGATATGGTGTAGACATCAGGTGCAGAGAAGTATTTTACCAACACGAAATGGTTTGTATTTCTATTCATTATTTATAGAGTAGGATCGAACACGAATAGATTATTGAAAAGATGGATGCCTAATTTCGATACATAAAGGAGTCTCTATTAGTGCTAGTTAGATGAACACCGTGATTGATAGGAAGTACTGAGGCTAACTCTTGCCTTCCCCTGATCCGCAATGCGGTCCAGGGGAACATGGGGAGAGATCTATTATGGTTTTTTTTTTCCAGTAACTGATATAAGTAATTGTCATTCTGTCATTTTCTACTCTTGACAGAAAAAAAGATGAGAAAATGGCTTTATATGCCCTTTCATATATAAATATGTTAAAGTTTGGACACTGCTATATTAAAAGTATTATCAGGCACAGTGATTGCTATCATGGATAAGATTTTTATGGTCTCAAACTGTAGCAGAACTGTTTGATAACAAACGCGGATCTAGTAGAAAAGATAGGGATTCAGTCAAGCACGAGCTCAGTAGTTTTGGCTTAAACCTTGTATATGTATTAAAAACTCGTTAAATAAGTACAAATCATTGAGTTAACTATTGTTTGTTTTCGTGATTGTTAATTTGTTCATAGTGCAAGGGACGTTATGGTGCCAGCACGAGGCAAGGCAAAAGTTGCCACTGACTTAAGCATAGACTTACCTCCAGGAACCTATGGTCGTGTCGGTATGCTGCAATACTCTTATCTGAATGTATACATTCTTGTTTTACAATGACATAATCTGTCTTTAGAGATGCTGCTTTTGTTTCATATGTGTAGCTGCAAGATCAAGTTTGTCTTGGCATCGTTCCATTGATGTTGGAGGTGGTGTGGTTGATTTAGACAAAAATCCTGTTTTCGTGATACTGTTCAACCATTCTGATGTTGATTTCGAGGTGAAAGTTGGCGATAACATAGCACAGCTAGTCATTGAGCTCCATGCTATACCTGAGATTGTTGAGGTTTATCAATAATTATAATGTGGGGTTTGAATTTGCTGGAGCAGCTTTATGTCTGTGTATGTTATGCAGTTGTTATGTTTATTGTTCAACTCTCATTCTCCGAGGCTGATCTGGAACGAGTTCTTTGGGTTCAAACAGCATATACAAGTATCACATTCATATTCGAATCCTGAGACTCAACATTCTGTATTTGCCTCTGCCTCTGTTCATACTGTTGACTCTTGTAATAGTTGTCGTTGGAAGCACATTTATGCCTCCAACCAAATGTTTTTGTGTCTTTTAATCAAATGTAGGTCGATTTTCTGTTGGTTCCATTGCTTTCAGCTCGAACTATGTACACTTATAAAGGGATCCGACTCTACATTCTGGATGTGCATATGTTCATGCTGTTGAATGTTGTAGTAATAATTGGCGTTGCAAAAACTATACATTTCATCTGTTCATGTGTCATCATTGACTATAAGAATCAAAAAGGCGAAAAAATAATGCATATCTTTCATTTACATCATGAAACAGGTCATTTTAGTTGTGACAAAAGCTGGAGAATACTATGAACTTATGAGTAAACATAATACAAGTAAACAGCATATGAATGTAGAAGATGCAGTTAAATTTCTTACTCTGATGAGAGTGAAAATTATGGTCTTAAAGGCGTTCGACAAGTTGGACAAGTTGTTTTTTTGGCTAACCAAGGATCAAGACATTGAGCATGGAACACATGGTTACAAGGAGGAAAACTTCTGCACAATTCTGCTTCACATAGACTATCCAAGCAAATGACACACATCGATGAATTAGCTTGTCCTTCGAGGTAGAAGCAACTGATTCCTTGCAACTCTTCAACTGATAATCCTGAGTCATAAGCATCCTTTCGAGATATCTCATCGTGGGAATCTACTTGTTGATCAATCATATCAAGAACGAGGTAACAAACTACCATATATACCATGATAATCGCGATAATAGCAACCAAAAATAGAGGGGATGGGAGTTCAGCAGCAGAGGAACTCATTTGAATAGATAGGATTTTCTGAAAAAATATTTACATGGCACAAATAGTCATTTAGCTCCATGCTCTTGTCATAAAATAGGAGTAAGAAAATAATACTACTAAAAATATTATTGAGCTCTATGCCATACCTTAAAGTAGTTGATTGTTGAGTAACATCAATGACAATAATGTCTGAATGTTCACACTTGATCCATCTATATTCACTCACGTACATTGAAACAAGAATTATAACTTCGTATTTATTGTTTAATTATATTCTCACGGTTACTGATACCACTAGACTGCAAGTCTTGACTGTTCTGTTTACTTTAAGAACGAAAATCGTGGTCTAAAAGGAGTTCGACAAGTTGGACAAGTTGATTTTTTGGCTAACCAAGGATCAATACATTGAGCATGAAACATATGGTTACAAGCTGGAAAACTTCTGCACAATTCTGCATCAACAAGACCATCCAAACAAATAGCACATACTGAGTAATTCACTTGTCCTTTGAGGTAGAAACAATTGATTTCTTGCAACTCTTCAAGAGATAAACCCGAGTCATCATCAACAACATCTATATCATCGTTGGGATCACCTTGTTGTGAATCGATTAGATCAAGAACGAGGTAACAAATCAACATGTACACAATGATAATTGCGAAAATTGCAATCAAAGAAAGAGGAGGAGGAAATTCATCTCCAAAATAGCTCATATTGATGATATGATACTATCTTTAGAAGATGAACAAAAAAATCCATGTCATTAGCCTATAGATTGACTTTGACATGTTGAATAATAATGTTTAGCATAAATTGATTATATTTGACTCAAAGTTTTAAAAATGAAAAAGAAAGTTTAGCTTGTGCCTTTCTTTTGATTGTTCTTGAATATTGGAATGGACTTTAATTTGATCTCACACATATCTTCCTTCTTGTGCACAAAATCTATTTCACACATACTATAACAATAATTATATATTTCGTGTAATTTCATATGCATAATCTAAATAAAAACGAGATGCGAAAATTAATAGTTTAAGAGGTGCTACTATTTTTAATATAGACATGTTAATTTTGCTTTTCTTCAAATAACATAGGCAATATCTTTAATATAGGCATGTTAATTTGTTTTTCTTCAATTGACATGTATATGGCATTATACTCACTATAAAGTTTTGGGTAAAAAACATGTGTCAAATAAAATTTTAGGAAGAAACAACCAAAAAAATAAAATAAAAATGGATCTAACTACTAAAATGTCAAATAAAATTTTAGAAAATGCTTAAGTGAGAAACGAACTCAAACGATCCAATTAAGTGTCCATCCATGCACCCCAAAATAAATTAGGAAAATCGCTTTTTCTTTATTATTGAGAGTGTCGATATAAATATATATATATATAATTTAGATATATACACATATATAAATATCTACTGACTATCTTAAGGTGGATTTTATCTTGAATTTAAGAAAGAAAAAATTTAAATAGATGTTATCATTATTTTCGTAAAAATAAAAAGAAAATTTTGATAGAATCTCACGATATCTATGCTTCTATTTCACATATCCTAGGATAAACTTTGAGAGATAACTTGTGGTGAATGACAAATAATATATTTTGACATTCAAAGCAAAGCCAACATATAAAAAAATAATAATCAGAATTGATGTCTGCCTTAGGAGATAATATTTTTTTTTTCTGTTTTGGGTAGTTGGGGGTCAAGTTGTAAAAATCATTTTACATTGTCTTTTCGAAGATCTTCTTTATTTTAAGATGTTTCTCTTTTTCTCTTTTTATATTTAGAATCTAAATAAAAGATTAAATAATATACATTATCAGCGAGATCGTTTAAAATATTTTTTTTTATTCTATGAGATAGTAATAAAATTTGCATACAATTTTACTGAGTTTGTTATTGTTATACTCTTTTTTCTCACTAACGATATTGTTTTCACTTATTATTATATCAGATAATATATTTCATTTTTTCAAGATTTTTTTAAACAAGAAAAAGAATGAAAAATTAAAAATATTCCGTTACCGGGAATCGAACCCGGGTCTCCTGGGTGAAAGCCAGATATCCTAACCGCTGGACGATAACGGAACTTGTTGACACTAATCGATGTATATTTTAAGTTCTATCTAACAAATTCACGACGTTACTCACGTATCAAATATCACGGGTACACGCATATTATAATACCTTTTATATTATTAATAAAGTTCAATATGAAATTACATGAGTGGTAGGATGGGCTTCGATCCTTATTAGCCGTAGAAAGTTATAAATTTTAAGAAGTAAATTATCAGATGAATTTGCTTATTGTTACGATCCTTATTAGCCGTGGAAAGTTATAAATTTTAAGAACGTAAATTATCAGGTGAATTTGCTTATTGTTATGACTTATAAGACAAAATCTAAATTTTGAAATATTCAAACCGATCTTAAAAAGTTAGGTTAATTGGATAAAATTTAGATTGTAATTTCTTTAATCTGTAATCAAAAATCCAAATTGTAATTTGTTTATCGAGTCCCAATGGTACAAGCTCACCCTGATGGTGTCTATGGAGCCGTAGAGTCTATTTCTCTTAGACCATTGCCTCAAGCTCAAAGTGTTTGCGCCTAGACATCCTAAAGCCAAGGAAGAAGATGGTGGCTTGTTGTTGATGATTACTAAGAGGAGTTTTAATCGACTTATATTTAGTAACTTTTGATTTTTAAGTTACTCTTTGATTTAAGAAAGTGTTTGAATAACACATAAACGACTTATAAGTACTTTTTTTTAAACAAAAGTTTGAAATTCCCTACTTATGACTTTTGACTTTCAATTTATAACTCATTTTTAAAAAAGTCAATTCATACACCCGTAAGAGCAACCAAAACATCACAATTTCTTTGACATACAGGTAAGGAATCGAATTATAAATTCCTTTAACATTTTGCGTGATCGATTTATTCACGCAAAATATAACCCATCCACTTCACAATACCAAGAACAAGAGCGAAAACATTTTCACAAAAGCTACCCTACATGATATTACAAATTGCCTCTGCTCTCAAGTACTTAATTCTCTCTTGGATAACTAGGGTACGGGAAGGGGAGACAGGAGAGGAGATTACAAGGTGGGGAATCGAACTTCCACCAACAAAGTAAAAGTTGCAGGTAACCAACCAACTGAGCTACTAAGATTCCCCGACAGAAGACAAAACTGATCAGCAGCTTACTAGGACACGTTGATGAGAGAGATGCTGTCAGTTCAAACATTCTTTACTGAATTTTGGTAAAGAGATTTATCGCATATGCAGCATGGGGTACCACAGTATTTGGCTCAAAACAAGCATCCCTACGTTGATATTTGCTTGCGATTGAGAATCTGATACACCTGCCTTGACACTTTTCTCTGTCTTTGGTGACGGGGGAGTCACTGTGGTGTTTGGCGTTGGAACCAGTGTGGGAGTCACCGGAGCTTTTGGTGCTGGATTTGGTGAGAGAGACACAGGAGCTTTTGGGGATGCATTTGGCGAGGGAGACACCGGAGTTTTTGGTGTTGGAACCTTCGAAAACACAAAAACTCATCTCAGACCTTAATAATCACGAAATTTCCAAGAAATTATAACAGTTACGCGTCTATTGAAAACAAGGTAGCTACATAAATCTTCACTATCTATGTCGCTCTATAAGGTGGCCTTTCAGTCCAAAATTAAATTACTAGAAGTTCTTTATATCTTATATTGACAAATAGATTCCTAGAAAACGTTGGACCTAGAATAACATATTAATATGAAACTTAATCCGCAACTAATTGGCATGGCTTATAGTCAATTACATTTCATGTGATTTTAGGTCTACCTTGTCCGCATTTAACTTCACACCTACTACAGACCAGTGCAATGCATATTTTACAAGCATATTAAATAACAAGGTAATTGAGTTCTTGTAGTGATTCTCTTACCTGGTTGTTGGCTTTAGAAAGTCCAATATCATAACTCATGGTTAAATCAGGCTTAAAAAGTCCGAAGGATCGCTCAGAAGTTGGTCCTGGTTTGAGATCCTCATCATATATGGCAAAGAGATAGGTATCTACTGATTTGCCAGGCATCAAAGGAGTACCAACCATTGACCTCAAGTGAGCAATCAAATTGCCATTGTAAGCCTTTGCATTCTCAATACTTGGACCAACTTCATTGCTGTCTCCCTTATAAGGCCACCCTGTTTCCGCAATCACAATCTCTACTTCCTTGAATCCCATAGCGTTAAGCGCTGCTCTTATTGCATCCACCTGCATACATCCAACTTAATTATGTTACTCAAACTCAAAAAACACCTACAAAATACCCCCTACATGTAAAGATGAATGACATCACTCGAATTCTAAGAGTTTTAAGAAATCAAGATTGAGTTCATCTTATAAACTCATCCATTCATTCTTTGAAAGTAAACTTTCTATTTCCAAACATCATGTAAAGTTTACTAAGAATTAGATCTAAGAGGATATACAGCCAGTCAATCAATTATTTTCAATCCTAAACTAGTTATATGAATAATTTATATCCATTTTTCTCTACAAATTAGATCTAAGAGGATAAAGAGGAGTTCTCTAGAATAGTGTTTATCTAAATCAAACATTTATTCTTACACTATCAAGTTACTAAAATAACCAATCTAATGGAAATGTAGCTACAAGAAATGAAACTTTCAGAATACACTAGTTGGTATCATTTATATAAATCATTTTCGTTCATTATGTTTAATTTTTATCAAAGATAACACATAGATTCCAAGCATTTGCAAGTTTCTCATATAAAACAAGCATGTTTATCTCAGTTGTCTTTCGGGAAAAATTCAATCTTTATACTGTTGCATATGCTGTTATGTTATATTGATGTAGAACAGGTCAACATATCAAACATGATACACAAAAACATATTCAGTGTAATCCTACAAGCAGGGTAGAATGTACGCATAACTTAACCCAAACTGTTTCACTCTCGACGAAAGTGTAACAAACAGAGCATATCAAGCCTGATATAGTAACATGAAGATCGTATAATAACTTGCAAATTGCATAGTATAAATTTTCTTTACCTGAGCATCGAACATGTTGGTGTACTTGATCTTGGTGCCAGCATCAACTCGACCAGCATTAGGTTGAAACAAGCAAAAAGCTAAAGTATCAGGTCTAGGATCACTCTGATAAGCGAAAAACGGATAAGGATTAATGGCGAAAGGAGAACCAGTAGCTTTATTGAACTCCAACAATCCTTTCAACAAATCCCCAATATTCGGGTCGAAACTTCCAGAAGACG